CCGCGGAAAATATGGCACGGCCGTAATCCGTGAATTTCAATGCAGGGTGGAAATAGTGAATAGATCATGAACGGAAAGATAGTAGGGCTGTTAATGTGGTACAAACCGTGTGAATTTTACTCAGAATGAAAACTTACAGTGAGTCAGTTTCATTTAGATCCATCCACTGCGCCTCATCGCCTAATGTACAGTTCAAATAACGTTTGTTAAGCGTGTCCAAGACTCCAATAAAACCTCCACCTTTAGTGCAGATCGGTAAACAGATCTGAAATACATCGGTTACCAGTAATCAAAAGATGCAAAATACCGAACAGAAAAGTGTCACATTTCCAGATTAACAAATGAGCCAAACCTAATCCGAGATTTCTGCTTACTTTCTTTCAACTCGATCAATTCATTTTATGCATTTGCAAAAAAAAAAAACTGTGGTTATCCAGAAAATTCAACAGATTGTTCCAAAGCAGTCTCGAGCAGCCAACTAATTCAAAAAAAGAACCCTTTCTTCTTTCCACTGTTCCCTTCGTTTTGATTTCTTTCTTCCTGTTTTTTTCTTACACTTGTTTCCTACACATGGCGACCTCACTTCACCGCATATTACTTAGTCTATCTGCGTACACATCTTTGAAACGAAAAATATATAATTTGCTAGATACCAAGTATGCTTCTCATGTTATCTTAGAAATGAAACATATAATTCGCTAGATACTAAGTATGCTTATCACGTAACCTTCTAACTTTCGGCTTATCACGTAACCTTAACTTTTCACTGCCTGTCCTCTGCCTTCTTAACTTATATTACTCGCCCCCTCTATCCCTACCTTACCAGTAAAACAGCTTCTTTCTTCCTTAGGTACTAATGCTTTTACGCGTAGCTGTGACCAACTTTTCGAAAGACCTCAGCGAAAAGAATTCACGTAAGAGAATAAAAACACATACAGCTATGGGATTTCTCAGACCCAATTTTTCGGCAATAGAATCAACAGATCTGTTGAAATTCGCCGATGGCTTGTCCATTTTATTGACGAAAAATACTGATGGTACTTGATATTTCATGGCCTGACGCCATACAGTCACTGTTTGTGCCTGCACACCTGCTGATGCATCCAGAACAGTGACCGCTCCATCCAGCACTCGTAAGCACCTTTCTACCTGCAACATACTCAAAGTCGGAATATTTGTTTTTGCATCTGGGCTGTAAAAGCGTAGAATTTTGCCCCCCCCACACACACCCACACACACACGCACACACACACACACACACACACACATCCAAGCCATTGTAGATGCGCCCTGTGGTATTTTGCTATAGAGCCATAATTGTATCTAAAAAAAAGCCAGGTTTTTTACGCCCGCTGTAACAAGCATTTAAGTGTATGCGTACGGAGATTAGCACACTTCTGAATACATTAAATGCATAAATTTGAATAAAATGTGCCATCATAGGCGGATTCAGAAAGCGGTTGGCAGGCATCAGTGCTGCAATAGCCCGGGACCAAAGCTAAAACTAAAGTAAACTAAAGCCTAAAGTAACTCTACGTAGCAGTGTGTTACAACTCTGTTCCTAGTTTTTGCATGGTTCTAAGGTGGGAGGGATTCTGCTCCCCATCCCCCTTGCCCCTCCCCTCCAAGGTCTCCGTCCTGGATCCGCTCAGGCCTCGCGTTACGCGCAAAACAGAACCTCAGTTTTGGTGCCCACATTGAACAGAAAGCTGAAATTTTGTGAGGATGTTCCATATGCGTGTTTTTCGCATTCTCAAAACTTGTTCTGTACATTCGATGCATACCTCTAAAGTGAAGTCGACATGTCCAGGTGTATCAATCAAATTGATCCTGTGCTTCCTCCAAAGCAGTGTGATCGCTGCGGATTGTATTGTGATCCCTCGTTCACGTTCCAATTCCATAAAATCTGTTACCGTTGTCCCTGCAATTGCATTATCAGCTATGCGAAAAAAAAAGATTTGAAGCAATCTCAAGAAGGACGGGAATTCCAAGTCAGATGAGCAGTGAGTTTGATGTAATACGAGGAGTCCATTCTCAAAATTTTAGTCGAAAATTTGCAATATTTTTACCGATTCGCTATTTTTTTTTCCAATTACTGAACTGATATTTTGTTGGCCAGTACATCAGTGTTACGAAAATCTACGAAAAGCTGGCAAAAACCTGGGATGAATGCTGCTCTTTTAGGTTAGAAGAGTCATGGGTAAAAAAAGTATGTACAAGGATAACAAACTTCGGATAATTGGATCAGCTCTAATTATTTATGGTCTAGTGCCCAAACAGTTGCTCTGACCAGCGATGCATCTGCCTGGTGGTCAGCCCCTGGGCGATGTTGGCACTGGTTTCACTGGCTGAAGATGATCATTTCAACGATTCGCACGGCAGTTAAACATTTGGCACAATTTCTTACCATTATAATAATTTTATCAAAATTTTTATTTTATCAAAATTATCGAAATTTTACTAATTTCTTAATATTATTTTCGCTTCTCTTCTTTTTCCTACTTC